GTTGCTAGCAATTAGATTGCCGCAATGGACTAGGATATTTGTTCTATAGAAATAAGCGAGTCGAGAATTCGTAAATCTTCCTCCAAGTAGAAAACCCATGAGGAACAAGTTGTCTTGAAAATTAAAATAACAGGGATGGGACTATATATAAGCATAAGGCTCAATAAGTTGTGAATTGTTTGACATAATGGATTTTGTGGACTAAAATGAAACATTCTTCACAATGGTAAGAATGGTATCAATTCGCCTCATAGTTTGCCATTGTAGTGAGTTAGACTCTGGAACTTGACTGTATGGTTGTTCAAATGACATTTCCTGACAAGGAGAACAGTTATGATCTCAACATTGTTGAACAATGAGATCCTAATAGCCAAAAATGACAAGGAGATTATCAACACCACTAAACAATTGTCATTTAACTTTGATGTGAAGGACATAAGCAAGGCGCATCATGTCCCAATATTGAGTTCGAGACAATCACTCTTTGAGGTTCCAATATGTCATAAGTGACTTACATTAGAAAAATCTTAGAATGATTTATGATGCATTTCAGTGGTGCCATCAGTACTCCTGTCTAGAAGGATCATGTGCTTAGCCATAATCTCTACCACATACAGAGGCTAATAATTGAAAAGATAATATGTATCCCATATGAAAGTATGGTAGACAATCTAATGTATGCCATGTTCGAAACGTGACAGGTTGTATCCTACAACATATAAAGTCACTACCATAGTAATCCAGATGGTGAACATTGACAGATTATGAATGGGATACTCTGATATCTCCAAAAAACCATACACTATTTATAGATTTTTTGGGAAATGATCAGTCACTACCATAGTAATCCAGATGGTGAACATTGACAGATTATGAATGGGATACTCTGATATCTCCAAAAAACCATACACTATTTATAGATTTTTTGGAAAATGATCTGCTATTGCGAAGATAGAGTATGTCGGATTAGATGGGTGGCCTAGAGTATTGATGGTTGACATTAAGAAAGTCCTTCACTCTGAGAATGAGAGTGATTTCTTAGTACAATAAGAAAGCGACATGAGTGACATATCCAATGTGAAATCGAAATATAGTGATTGTTGTGCTGCAATGCAAGAGGGCATGTGGCTAATGTAGATCTTGTAAAGCTTAAGGATCATATTGAGTACTAGAGAGTATGTGAGCATGTTTTGTGACAATATAGCAACATTAGCTTTCGCAAAAAGCCACAGGTAGTACAGTAAGATATAGCACGTTGATATGGGGTATCATTTTTTGTAAAATTCTAATGAGAGAAAAAGAGACGGTCTTGACATATACAATCCCATGAACAGGATGGTAGCAGACCCCATGACTAAGCCTATATAGCTTAAAAGAAGTATAGAGCTCATGCCAAGGGATTGAGACCTGGAAGTCCTTAATTGATTTTTTGTACCATTGTCAATGTCTTACTCTTTTGGTACATGGATGTTTTCTTTAATAGACTTTTACCGTTTATTTGATAGTTTTATGGTATTGTGGTTTGTTCAATACACACTCATGATTTGATTGCACATTCACACTTGCGTACTAGGATGCATACCCATTGCTAGATAAATCACGCGCTTGCTCGGTCCACTTTCTTGCATAGTGTTGACCACCATCAATGTCTGAGATATTGGAGAATAAGATACACACAGGGTGTGTGAATATTGATATGATAACAGATCGAGACGACGTTCTGTAGTTGGGAATTGACATGATCCATATGGTATCCCAGCAGATCATATAGCGTGCGCGACAACTAAGTGTGAGCATTGAGGATGCTCATGTTAATTACTTGGATGCAACCCTAGATGCATTGGCTGTGACAAGATGAATAGCTTGAAGGCACTAGGACTTGTATGGTGTAGATCCAACGTAATCGTAATATTATTTGTCGTTTACATTGTGGCATGTAACTCATATCACATGTTACTTGGATGCAACCCTAGATGCATTGGTTGTGACAAGATGAATAGCTTGAAGGCACTAAGACCCGTATGGTGTAGATCCAACGTAATCATAATATTATTTGTCATTTACGTTGTGGCATGTAACTCATATCACATGTGATCAAGGAGACTGCTTTTACTCTATAGAGAGGTGTATGCGAAGATCCTTATTTCCAATTACATTATGCAAGAAATAGTAGGGCACACGTTGACCTTATGCGCCTTATAGCCCTTGAGATTGTATTACGAAGTGGAAGCTTAATCCCAGCCTATTAAAAGTTGTAGGCCCCAATTTTGAGGCATGACCTAAACCGACATGCCCCAATATAGGACTAGACCTATCATGTGTCAAATCTGGCATGTGTCGAGCCGAGCCTGCTCGGCGGCCCACTTGCAGCGCTGATCACATGTTGATATTCCATTTAGTATGCCGTATAACCTACAAAAGACATGAGGCGTGAGATGTCCCCATGTTTTGAACGTTGGTGTTCCAATTAGTATGCCATATAACCTACAAAAGACGCGTAAGATCTCCCCATGTTTTAAACCCTTAAACTAAGTCACTCCGGTTTAAACCAAGTCACTAACTCTCTCTCAAGCTTTTGCCCCTCCTACATTTTCAAAGGTGGCCGCCAAAATAAGTGCCATTTGAGCCATCCTCCTATTTCAACGCATTTCACATTCTTGCTACAACACCAGACTCAGTGACAAAACATGAGCTACTTTGGTGGTCCTTTATTCATTCAACCACCTTAAATTATTGCTATAATCGTAAACTTGGTGGTAGGGTGGCAATGGACCAGAACGACCCATACCCACCGGGTATATCTGACATGGGTCCGGGTATGGGTCCAAGGTTTGGACCTACGGGTAAAGTCCGGGTCCAATAAAGGATATCCGGATAGTCCCAGGTCCGGGTATGAGTCCTGCTATACACGATCGGATGGGTACCCGGACCCCAATTTTTAGTTTATCCAAAAGCCAAAGCTCCAACCCTAAAATCCTTTCAATGCTTTTCATCTTTCCCGGTTCTCCAACCGCCAAACCCCATCACCATCCTCCCTCTCTCAGTTTCTTGGAGACATAGCTCTCTTTCTCTGGATGTCGATTGTGTCCCTCTTTCTCGCTCTAATCGCTCACACTTCAAAAATCAGCTACAAAAAAAGAAGCTCCAAATGAAGGTGGCAATGGACCCAACCATACCCGAGACCCGATGGATACAGGTATAGGTATGGGTTCAACTTTTGAACCCCACGGATCAAGTCCGAGTCCAAAACCTGGACCCAAGTCCATTCAGGTCTAAGTCCGAATCCAGTTGGACCCGACCCGACCCATTCCCGACCATTGCCACCCCTACTTGGTGGGACGTAATTACATTTATTCAACCCACTTTTGCATTCAAGTTACAGTCCTAAGCTAAACCCCTAAGCATAGGATAGTGGACCCACTTTTATGCTCTTATTGCAACCCTAACTTTGGGAAAAGTGATGGCTCACATAGCATGAAGGTCCTAAGGCACAACTCATTTTGTCCTTTTTAAAAATGTAGTGCGGTCTTCGAACTTTGACCTCTGTATATGACCTAGGATGCTCAGCCTCATTTATACCATGATTATTTGATAAAGAAGCCAAAATATATTTTATCCCTTTGGTAGTATACTATCCATTTACTCCCTCAAGTAAAATCCCACCAAAGAATATTTTGGGAGCCCAATTTTTTGAAGATATAACCTCTTTAGCACATAGATTAACCTTAATAAAAGGATTTTCCTAATTGCATCCTCTAAGCAGTTGAAAAAACTAATGTCTCGACCTTTTAAAAAAAAAATAATAATTAAGATTGAATAGAAACCACCCGATTTTTTAGAGGGTGAGATCTAAGTATTAGATAACTCAAATTTCAATAATTTTCTTTTGGAAATATTTATCTAGTGCTTTCACATTCTAGCCCTACTAAAGCATGCCTCCGATGAAAGAAACATGATTCCCTATGTTTTTGAAAAAGATGGTTTCTATGAGTCCATGTAAAAATTAGTCACCTCTTAGAAATTTATTTTTGAGATGAATTTTTAAATAAAGGACATGTAATCTCTAATGTGGAGATCATGAATATGAAAAGTGAATAAATTTTCAAAATTAAAAATAATGATTTTATTAAGAAAATAAATATTAAGACCGTAAGTTTCAATTGTTTTTAAATGGACCACCTATCTACGTCTATCCTTAAAATGGATACTTTATACCGAAAACCACAAATGAAGAAATGTTGTCCCCGCCCGATGGAATAATTTTCCTTTTGAAAAGGTATTAACATAGTGCTCTTGAAATCATAAACCGTCGTACAAATCCCACAAACGAAAATGGGTCACTTTGGTCATGCTAACAGATTTCATGCTCCCTCCTTGAGCATATTGTTTATTTACTCACGCAAAATCTAATCCAGAAGTATTTTAGAACTTCAAATTTTGGGGATTTAACCACTTCACACTACTCAATTAAAAAATAAATAAAAAAAGCCTAAATTACATTCTTGATGGGCTTGAACAAAATAATGTATTAAGATTGAATGAAAACCGTCCAATTTTTAAAGGGGAGATCTAGGTGTCAGAAAATTTGAAACTCAACTTTATTCTTTTAAAGCGAATCATCTAGTCGGTTTTAGGAGCTTCCCCAAATTTTGCCATATCAAGAAAATCATTCCAAATTAGTTTTCCGTCCGAGGGAGGAAGTGAACAGTATGCTCCCGCGGCAGCATCGCTACGTGTCCAGTAGTCACATCATTCATAACAAGGGGAGAGGGTCTTCGATTTAACGCGTACAAGTCCGAAAGCAGTTTTTACTTCTCAGTTCTCTAATGATAATCCGAAAGCACTTCTTTTCGCAAACGAAGCATTTTGATCGGATCTTTACAAAACCTTTGAAACCAGAGAGAGAGAGACCAGTTTTTCTTTTCTTTGAAATGCAGAGAAAAATCCACTTTCAAAATTGGTCAATGGCAATAGGTAGAGAGGAGAAACAGAGAGAGTACCTGTAGCGACGATCATAGGGAGAGACGATGAACTTTCGGAGCTTGACCATGCGGTTGCTTCGAGCCCCAAGAGAAGGGAGGAAACCGCTTGAGAGACTGTAATGACTTCCCTCTCTGGATATTCTATCGCTCTCGAACAGCCCAGTCCCACAAACGTAGTGCCCCATCTCTCTAATTCTTCTTACTTGCTCAGTAGAGAGAGCTATTCCTTTTACAGATAGAAAGCCCCTATCTCTTTAAGTCTTCGTCTTACTGAGTGGAGAGAGAGAGAACCAAACTCTTTACTCTTAGCAGAGAGAGAAAGTCCCCACCTTCGCCCTCCTGCTAATTCAGGCTAAACTTATAAATCACGCCTGCCATTGTTACAGGTCATCCATTGAATTCATGACAGTGCAGAGAGAGACAGAGAGTTTTCTATTAGAGACAGAATTAGAAGAGAGAGAGAGGTGGAGTTATTGATGGGAGAGAGGTGGAGTTCATTAATGGGAGAGAGAGAAAGTTAGAGAGAGTTCCTATTGATCCTCGTCGGCCGGCGCGTTCCACTTGTCGGAACGCCTCTTTAAATACGACTCCTTCAATGGGATCGAGGACTCCCGTATTTCTCTTAATGCCAATACTAACCCTGTCATTTACCGTAATTACCACAGGAAGAAGTATACATAAGGGTGCGGTTTGTACAGAGCCGAGGCTCTAAACAATCGAATAAGAGCCCTCCTCCAAATAGTGTCGAGAATTATAATTTCAATATTTAAAAATTTTTGTGATATTAATTATAAAATTTAAAACTTCAAAAATAGTGTAGACAAAGGAGATTTATGAAAATCTTGAAAATTGACGGTTTAAAATGCGTTATAAGATGTACTATTTTTAAAACTTGAAATCCATTTTTTTCTTATGTCCATATATCTCGATGCCGAAATGATCAATTTGATTATATTCGGGCATGAAAACAATTTCTTCTAGTGAATGTTTTGAGATAGGCTCTAATTTGATTTGAGATAGGCTCTAATTTGATTGTGCTCTATATAAACTTTTCCCCCATTGTATAAAGCCTTAACCTTGCATGCACACAAGTTTTTTATATTGTTGTTTTTTAATACCAACACTACTCCGGTTATCCCGTTATCCGAGCGTGATTAAATACTCCTTGTGGGTGGACCTATATCGAATTCTCAATATTCGTAGTGGCCAATAGAGAAGAAAACCTCAATTGTTGCACTTATACAGGAAAAAAAATTAAAAAAATAAATAGCATCCCCTAGTAATATACATTTTGAATTTTAGATAAAGTTGACTTGAAGAAATATCATTTAAAAAATAAAAAATAACTCTAATAACTTTTTTTTTTTTTGGTACAGGAGTACTAATATTATTAGATAAGTGGAGTAATTACCATGACAATATTAAAAAAAAATTAGAAGAAACAATCAAGAACTTAATGAAACACTCTTTTTGGCTAAATCATCTGCAATGAAATTTGTTTCTATATAAACATGGTTGAAAGTAAAATTGCAAAGATGAATCCTAAACTTACAGCCATAAAGATTGAATATGCCAAAACGGTCTAGACAGACAGTTGCACCAGTTGATAACATTAATCGAATCTCCTTCATTTAATAAAATATACCCCAAGCTTGTGTCTTTCCAATTCAACCATCCTTTAGCAAAGCTGCCATATCGGCATCGTTAGCCCAAGCCTTTATCTCCACAAGAGGCAGCATAGAATAATATCATAATACCCTTATAATCTCTACATACACCTCCCACCCCCGCATGTTCAGGATTACTAAATAAAGAGCTATCAAAATTAAGTTTATAACAACTCAAAGATAGTGGAGCCCAAATAAGATTAATTGGTGTGATATTCTTACATAAAGGTCTTAAAAGAGTAAAATATAGGAAATTATTATGGGATGTATATACTCTCAACTTTTAAAGCCTCCCATTGCCTCCTAGCTTTCTCAAGAGCTCTAGGGCCTTATGTCAAATGCTCGATGTTTGAGTTGTATATACTACGTCTTTAGTTTTAATAATCGAAAGTTGGCCTAGAGATACAAGTATGGAACTCTTGAACCAGACGAAACATGTGCAGAAAGAAAATAGAAAAAAAGTGCACTAACCACAAGAAAAGGACTACAGCAACAACAAAAAAGTGATTTTCATCCAATCCATTTCTTCATTGTTTTTTTGATGCTCTGGGGATTACGTAGAATCCCACAATTCTGGTGCCGAAAAACCTCAAATCGATCATCTTGACCTCAATATGTATGAATATGAAAAACAAAATGGCTTTGAAAGCCACAAATATTGCATCTTGTAATACATTATCTGAAACGTCCATTTTCAAAATTTTAAAGTATTCATGAATATGCGCGATCTATATTACTTAGGAGATTTTAATATTATAAATAAAAAATTTTATACAGACCTTAGGCTCTAAACAATCAAATTAGAACTCACATAAAAAATTTTCCTAGAAGATGTTGTTTTGAGGCCCAAATATCTTCAAGTTGATCATCTTGACATCAAGATGGACATGAGAAAAGAATGGATTTTAAGTTTTATATATAGTTCATCTTGTAACACATTTTTTGACTGTCAATTTTCAAGTTTTTCAAGTTTTCATAGATCTACTTGATCTACACTATTTTTTAAGATTTAAATTTTATAATTAAAGATAAAAATATATTTTAAAGCTATCACAAAGATTTCTAGTATTCAAACTACATTGCACTATTTGAAGGTGCCCTTTATTTTGATTGTTTAGAGCCTCGGCTCTACATAAAGTGCATCTTTATAATTATAAATAAGGGTGTGGTTTGTATAGAGCTTAGGCTCTAAACAATCACACCAGAGCGTACCTTCAAATGGTGTCGAGAAACGTTGTTTCAATACTGAAAATAGTTGTGATAGCCTTAAAATATATGTTCATCTTTATTAACGTTTAAAGTTTAAAAATAATGTAGATCGATAGATCTATGAAAATTTGAAAAACATGAAAATTGATGGTCTGAAAATGGGTTGCAAAATACATTATTTTCAAAACTTGAAATCCATTTTTTTCTTATGTCCATGCATCTTGATGTCGAGATTATCAATTTGAAGATATTTGGGCATCAAAACAACCTCTTCTAGTATAGTTTTTTAGGTAAGCTCAAATTTGATTGTTTAAAGCCTCGAACTATATAAACTTTTCCCTATAAATAAGATTTTCGGATTATCATATGAGTTTCTGCCAACCTAAATTGCATCTATAAATAGAATTGGAAGTGCGCCTCACTTTGATTAATTTTGTTGGATACATTGGGTAATCCGTACCCTACTAAAAGGCGCCCTTGGAGCTCGTCCCTTTCCGAAACAACCTGTCACGAGTTATTTGGGCCTTTTCCTGAGCTTTAAATGCTAATGAACTTTCTAAAGACAAAAGCCAAAACCGGAAACCAATCGCCCACTTTATCTCTCTCACTTCTCTCTTTTTGTAGTCTTCTTTCTCTCTCTCTGAAATCTGGTCGAAGATACCTAACTCCTTTCCCTTGGTTCATCTTTCTTATTCCACTTTTTGGAAAAAGAAAGCTCCAACCCCCCGGGTTCACGCCTCTCATTCCAAAAGGGAGAAATTTATATAGAGCTGAGGCTCTAAATAATCAAATTAGAGCCTACCTCAAAAATTTCATTAAAAGAGGTTGTTTTGATACTCAAATTTCTCAGATTGATCATCCCGACATCAAGATGCATAAACACGAGAAAATGGATTTCAAGCTTTGAAAATAATACATTTTGTAACATATTTTTGGATCGTCAATTTGCAAGATTTTCAAGTTTTCATAAATCTGTCGATCTACATTATTTTTTGATGCTTTAAACTCTATAAATAAATAAAAAATATATTTTAAGGCTATTACAAAGTTTTCCAGTATTGAAACCACATTTCTTGACATTATTTGAAGGTAGGCTGTAATTTGATTGGCTAGCGCCTAGGCTCTATACAAACTGTACCCTTTGAAAAAAGAAAACTCCAACCCACGTTTAAAAATTAATAATGATGAAAGATTTAATAATGATGAATGATTAAGTTGAAGAAACATATGAATTATTATTACCATAGACCCATGTGTGACAAACTTTGTCTCTCCACCCGTCTAAAGTAAAGGGGAAGAATGCTTCTCTCTAGAAAATTATAAATATATTTTTTGGTTCCCATCGTTTTCCAATGGAGAGGAATGCCGCGTGATTGTTGGAGATTCTGAGCACCTTATTTGTTTGAGTGATTTACAAAATATGAAATACTTTATTTATAGGAAAAAATTACAAAAAAAATCAGTCAACTTTATTTATGTATTTATTTATTTCCTTTTGGATAGAGGATTCTATCCTCAGATTGATTTTTTTTTTTTAGTTTTTTTTTTTATTAGTTGGGCATTTCCCCAAGTTTTAAGAAAAAACTTAAAAAAAAATTAAAATTTGATGCGAAGATGGAATCCTCATACCAAAAGGAAATTTTGAAAAAAATAAAAAAAAAGTGGATTGACCAACCTTCTTTATAATTTTTGCCTATAAACAGAGCATTTCATATGTTACCTAAAATTTTAAGATCCATAGATAAATCACTCTCAAGTAAAATACGAAATGCTCCATTTATAAACGGAAATTGGAAAGAAGGTTGTCAACCCACATTTTTTTATTTTCTCAAAATTGTCCTCTGGATTGTGGAACCGAATTTTAATTTCCTTTTTTGTTTTAGTTTTTCATTGGTAGGGCGGTGCCCCAAACTTTACGAAAAAACTAAACAAAATTTTAAAGTTAGTATTCTCCATGACCGAGACCACATGCGGCTGCATGCCTTGCACCATCGGATACAAACAAGATATCAGCATAGGATGTGCTCCAAATGACACTTCAATGTAAGTGCAACCCATAGAGTCTATCTATAACAAACGGAACATAGCATGCAGCTACATATGCATGTGGCCATACAAACTTAGACATCGGAATTTCAAAGTTGCCTGGGCCCATACAAACGTTTACGTATACCACGAATATAAGCCACCTCATCATTTTGTTTTTTAGTTCACTTGTAGGAGGTGAACTAGGAAGCTAGTGTTGCTAAGGGCAATAGCTAATCAATCAAGCCCCTCGACTCCCAAGGTAGGGTAAGAATTCAAGCCCTTGACCTCCCTCACTAAAACAAGTTTTACTTTTGCTATAAACATATTAGTTGTTATTAAATAATATGTTTTTGTATTATATTATTTTTGGAAAGTGATGTTTAAATACATAAATACCCTATTCTCATATATTCTAGAGAAAATTATAAAAACCCCCCAAATATACTATCTATGCAACTTACCCCCCAGCTAACATTTTCTCTCACTTTTTTTTTCTACAACCACCTTACCTCGTAAAACCCCCCCAAGGTAAAAATTTGTTCTTGTTTGGACGAAAATGCCCTTCCTGTACAAAAAAATCAATTGGCCGTCCCAAGTAGCATAT